CTTACAAGTTTTCCGGTCCAGTTTTGTGCTCTTTTTCCGAGATGAGTTGCTAACCTCGTGCTTGAAAACCAGTGACACTGTGCTTATCAGTGAAGAGTTCTGTCGTGAATTCCGCTCCAAATGTAGGCCAATTGTTTTGTCTCACAGCTAAGCACAGAAACTTCTGGTGAGTGACTTTAGAATTTAAGAGCAATAGATCTCGAGAAAAAGATTGGATGGAAAATGACGGTAAGTGGAGTCGAGAAGAAAAGTTCGAGGGGAAGAATGGGGAAGGGGGAACAAGGGAAAAAGTGTGGAAAGAGGTTCGGCAAAGCGGAGTTTGCACAGCTTGGCCCGAAAGGCGAGTTCTAAGGCTGTTTTGCAGTTTACGAATAATGAATCAATTGTCCGGTTCCAAAATATAGCTTTCAGAAACGGAACGATCGCTTCAGATCGATGATTTTATTTGTGCTTGTTTTGATGTACGCTGCAACCGGTGAGGCTCCAATGCCAGAAGAGGTTGATTTTTCACTGACATTCTTTCACAGGATGCTCGAGATTTTGTTTAGTGATTACATGCACAAAAGATTTGGGAAAAACACAGTTATGATCATATGGCAAAATACTTTTAAGTTGTTCGGATCATCGCCCATGCACATCTGGGTCTTACGTACGGACCCGAATAAATATGCAGGTTTTGTGACAAGGGAAAAATGTCGAGAACCAGACAAGTTAGAAAGCTTTAATCTCACAAATGTTCCCTGTCCATGTGTGAGCTAAAGATTTCAAATTCAGCCAACGAGCACTCCTACTACACAACGCATACAGTCACGTCCGTGTTCGAATTTGGCACTGTCGCGAAGAATCGGAAGAAGGTGTCGTCAGGTAAGATGAAAGTCGGTATTAGTGAATTTTCAAACTGACAACAGGTAACGGGGTTAGCACAATCCTCAGCTTTGGTGATGTCGCTGCGTCAGATATGGTTGAGATATGAGGAGACCATTTATTTACAAAAGTTAGCCTGTTACACCAGATCAGCAAGAAAAAGAAATTTAGAATTTCAAAAAGAAAAAAGCTCAAAATTTCAGCAAATGAGAACTTCTATAACAAAATGTTATTCGAAGTGAAGAAATGAAATGCTAAACAAAACGAATATTCGAAAAACGATGTAATGTGTATAATTTTTATGCGTTTTTTGCAGCTATGCAAAGCAAAAATGCATACTGACGAGGGGTTGCCTGTGTGTCCGTGTGTCTGCTTGTGCGTCCGTCACGCACTTTCATTTCAAGACCTATAAAAGCTGCAGGGCTGAAATTTTGGGAACTTAATCTACATGCGCATGCCGGCCCCAATCTCAAAATTGGCCATCACCCGCACGATACCCGAGCACGGGCCCACCAAAATTTTTTTAAGGTAAGTTCATAACTCGGAGATCTGAGAAGCTAGAACGCTGAAATCTAAGGGGGAGGTTCCCCGTCCAAGTAGGTGATAACTCAGGAGTCAGGAAAGCTAGAAAGCTGAAATTTTGAGAGGGTGTTTCCTGCCAGTTCTGGCGGCCAGTCCTAATTTGTTGAGCTAGAAGCGTTTGTCGAAAAAACCGATGCCGGTAGCGATAAAAACCGCGGGAGACTATACAAAAAACGCATCTTCGCACGGACAGCCCGTGCGTTGGCCAATTATTGCGATCTGTAGCAAGAGCACTATGCAGACTCGAACTAGCTGGAAAACTGCAGCTGAAACTTTGTTAGGATATTTATCATCCATCTGGAGAATCGCATACCTAAGCGGGTTTTGAATTGCACTTGCATCGCGGCTTAGTACACTTCCAATCTATTTGTAACGAAGTGACTATTTTGCTTACTGGACAAGCTGCGGGACTGCAAATTTTGCAAGGTTGTGTTTTATTCACGCATGGTCTAAACAGACCATGAAGGCTATGTTTCCTTCACGCGGACGTGATAAATACTGAATTTTATCGCAAACCCAAAAGCAAGTGCGTTTTGTGGGTACTGTAATCCATTTGTCCCAATATCCTGTGCACTGTCAAATTTGAATTTTTCGATGAACGACCACTCACTGGAAAAACGACCGATTTTCATGCAAAATTGACAGTCACGTGCGCTGGAGATCCGGGATCTCATGATACAGTATTACCGTCCTAATTCCTCCTTTTTCCCCCCGCATGCAAGGGACGCCAAAACACAGCCAGCATGTGTCCTAGTGTTAAACTGTAGCGCAGGAAACATTCATGTTGTTAATGAATTTATTGTTGCATACATAGCACTGAAAGGCATGATCGCACAAGCAAGTCTGTTGCGCGATGACCTGGGCTTTGCTTAGATAAGGCTCTGGGCGACGTGTTCAAAACCGCTAACTTCTCCTCAGCATGAATTTCATGCTGAGCATAAGAAAGTCTTAGGGGCATCACGCATAAACCTGGCAAACCAAAGTCTCACTTCCTTTCCAATCCACAACCTCTTTCTTCCACCTTTTCCTCTTCCGTCAAGACCATTAAGACGGAAGACGGGAGAGGGAAGAACCTCTACAACTACCCCTTCCCATCCCTTCGCCCCTTCTTCGTCTTGTACTGCCCTCTGATCCATCTGTCAGTAATTATATATTGCTCCACGACCGGCTCGAAATGAACTAAATTTTACTTATTTATTACAGCACTCAATCCTCTGTTTAAGGTGAATGATATTGTTGCGGAAGCCAATATGCCTAGAAATTCGCGCGGAGCAACATTTGTCAATACTGACGGAATGTAAGCCTTTTCAACTATACCCTTCTTACATATGCAAATCACATATTTGCAGTGCAGTCTTTGTTTTATCCCTTAGCTGTAATCACAGGCAGGGCATCTGATGCGATTAGGATTGCGAATCGTCAGTACAACCTCCTACTTATTGTGTTTGAAAAAGACAGATTAAATAAACATGACAAAGGGAATAGAAGAGGACAGAACAAAAAAGAGACGAACAGAATTATAACAAGAGAATAAAGAAGAGCTTTAATTTGACTTTCGTTCTTTCTGATGCTTGAGTTGTAAAACTGACCAGAGCATTTGAAATCAGTTTTCAGCGATTGGGACTTCTGAATAGTGGAGTATGAAGATTAGAATTAAGTGTCATGTATAAGAAGGCATTTCACGATGCAGTCTGTGTTTCATCCCTTAGCTGTATGCACAGACCGAACAATGCATGCGGGAAGTTTGATGAAGTTTGATTTTGTGATTTACAACTTCGTACATCAAACTCTTCCCAGAGCTTCAAAGTTTTAACTCTTCTGTTTGATAAGCATTCATTTTACTAACAAGCATGAGTTACAGTAATCTTGCTATTCTTATGCATTTTTCCCAACCGTAAAAACGTATCTGGGACGTAAAAGTTCCCGTACTTCTAAACCCTAGCTCAAAAGACTTGAGGGGATTAAACCACAGAAGCATGCCAATACAACTACATTACGTAGTATCATATAATAGATTTTTGTCTACGATTAGGCTGTTTGTTATTACCTGCTGAATAGGCCATGATCACGACGAGGCAAGAATGATAAAAGGTTTTGCTGTGCTTGGTTGCTGTAAGCAAAAAGTAGAGCCTGAAACAACTTATCGCGAAAACGCACAATAGCTAAGATCCCCC